TATTTGTTGCTTGTATTTCCATAAACACATGTCTTATTTCCACACCAAAGGTTCTTTAGGGTAGTATCTGTGTAAGGAGTTGCAAACTTAAATGCATACAGAGGCCAGGTAGGTGATAGAAATAAGCAAAGTGTTGGTGTCTCTTTTAAACAAAAGCACATTTTGTTTATATATTTAATATGTAAGAATATTCTCCATTTCCACAAAGAAATGTGATTCTCATTTTCTTTTTTTCAAAGCACATGCCTCTTTTAGTCTACCATTCATTTTTGCTACTTCTCATATACTTTTCATTTTTATCTTACTTCTACTGAAGAGAAACATAAATACCAGCTCAGTGTTATCCGGGAATCAAATTATGGAAAGCACCTGCCCTGTCCAGAGGGTATAGCCAGTACTCGACTCTAGCTAATTGTTGCCATGCAGGGATATAGGCCAAGTATTTTCAGAGCTTCTGATTTTTCAAAAGAAGCTTGAAATCTAGAATTCTATGGGAATTTCTTTTTTAAAATTACTGGCAGTTAATGGAAAAAGCCCAAACTATTGTGGTCCAAGAAGGAACTTAGTACTTGGAAAATTTTTGAAATTCAAATGAGGAACAGAGATTAAATTAACAGCATTATATCAATGCAAGCTAACAACTAATGTTTCTAGAATTGTACTTTCGTTATGTAAGAAGTTAACTTTAGGGAAGCTGGGTGCAGGGTATGTGGAACTCTGTATTATTATTATTGTTTATTTAGAACTCTGAATTATTTTTGGTACATTTTCTCTGAAGCTAAAATTATTTCCAAATTGTAAATTAAAAGAAATGAGTAAAATACTGTGGTCCATTTCTGTGCAAGCCAAACATAATACTTCTACTAGCCATCAGTTTGAGGCTTCTGCTCTTCTTCTGGGATTTCTCATTGCCTACAGTGCTTACCATAGAACCTTACATAAACTGTAAATATTCTGTAAATATGAGTAGCTCCATTTTGGAGAAAATATCAAAAAAAGAAATATCTGTGAAATATATGACTTATAAAACCATCTTTTTTTTTTTTTCAGGTTTTATAAACGAAGTGAACTGTTCTACTTGAGATTTTTGTTTGTTTCTTCTATAACTCAGAATATCTCAAAATGGAGGCCTAAAACCCTTAAAAGGGACTTAGTCTATTCTCCGGGAGGTAGTTTTGTGCATGAATTAAAATATAAGTAGTTACTGGAGTTTTTGATATCCAAAGAATGTTTATTTGTAAAATATGATTTAATTCTGTGAGGGATAACTGTAAAGTAATGAGTTTGATTCTGAATTTGAAAGTGGAAGGAGAAGTGATTGTAGTTGGAGCATATTGTTGAAACACTCTTCAAAGTTGGCTAGGCATCCTTTCATTGGCTGCTGTGTAGACAGGGTGAAGCACCTCTGGTAAAATTTAATAATGAATGGCAGTTATCTAGAAATGAGAATTAATATTCAACTCTCTGCTAAATTAGACATATATGCAAATGAAATCTTTGACATGTTAAAAGACTTCAACAATGACAAAGAAATGTCAAGAATAAAATGTTTTGATAGGTACAACAAATTTAGAGAAAGTAGTAAAGATAAGCATGATGACTGGTAAAGAAAACTATCCAATGACTTCCATGACTACTGATAATATTTTAAAAGTCTAAAATTTAGCTTGTTCAAATGGTCTATTATCTCAGAGGATGATGAGAATGATAATGATGGCCAAGTTGTTAAATTTTAATAAATGAACAAGCTTATTTAGAAACAAAATTTAGACAGTGTTTAATACAATCTTATTTAAAGTAAGATTTTTAATTTACCAAGTTCTAATGGTACCACTAGGACTAAACAACTATGTTCTTGATTATCTATGAGGAAGTAATTATTACCTAGTAAATCTTAAAATCAAGTTTAAGATGTATAAGATAATAATCACTTAAAATCAGGTTTCAAGATATATCAGCCAACACTGCTACTACTTAATCTTTTTACTTAGAGGGATATCTTAGGTTCCTTTATTTTTCCTACTAAAATGACTGTGAGAATACCAATCACTTAATTTGGGAAAGATCTGGATATACCATATTTCATTGAATCTAAGATATCAATTCTAAGACACCTTGTTTTAAGTACCACTAAGAAATAAAAAATGCTGCTAATTAAAATATGATATGCCAGTAATTGTAAGATGCCTTTCACTAACAGGAATATTCAAACATGGGTCTTAGGAATGGTGAAATATATGGTAATGTACTCTTTTCCATTCTTGAGATAGGGCTTATGCTTTTTTTGGGGGGGGGGCTACAAAAGGCAAAGTAAGCATAATCTGAATATTTTTGTTGTAGAACACTTACGGAGCATACCTTTCCATCGTGAAAAGAAGCTAGCTGCGTGAGTCAGACATTTTATCTTCAGGCTAGTGGAATGTCACTGAAGCATTCTAGTGGCCTGGAGAAGTTGACCTAACTGTGGAGATGCCTGACACTAAATGACATCCTGATGACCTAAAACACTCTACACTTCTATGAAGAGTTTCAATTTCTACCATGTAACTATGTGGTATCATGTTTACATACATTTGCATATGCATAAAGATTATACAAAGGTGCCAGAAAAAGAATAACTGTCCCTTAAAGGTGTATCAGTATAGGATGTAGGAATCTCTCCACGCTGAATACCTAAATTTAAAAAAGAAAAGAAGGAAAGATTGCTGTTCTAGGTATTCATCCTAGTACTAAAATGATAAAATCAAAAGCCATGCACAAAATTACCTCCCCAGAGAAAGGCTAGTCCCTTTTCCTCCCTATCAGTTTCACTATGAACATGGAAAATAGAAAATTCTCACCAAATTTGATGAAAAGCACCAACACGTCTGAATTGAAATACGACTTTTCATGTGAACTATACCGAATATCTACCTATTCGACTTTCCCCACCGGAGTTCCCATCTCAGAAAGGAGTCTTGCTCGTGCTGGTTTTTATTACACTGGTGTGAACGACAAGGTCAAATGCTTCTGTTGTGGTCTGATGCTGGATAACTGGAAACAAGGAGACAATGCTATTGAAAAGCATAAACAGCTGTATCCCAGCTGTAGCTTTATTCAGAATCTAAGTTCAGTTAACAGTCTGGGGGCCCCCTCTCAGTCTGTTTTTTCTTCTTCAGTAATGAACTCCACACATTCATTACTACCAAGTCTGGAAAACAGTGGATATTTTAGTGGCTCTTATTCAAGCTTTCCATCAAATTCTGTAAATTCCAGTGCAAATCAAACTTTTTCTGTCTTGAGGACAAGTCCCTACAATTGTGCAATGAATACTGAAAAAGCCAGATTAGTTACTTTTCAGATGTGGCCACTGACCTTTCTGTCACCAACAGATCTGGCAAAAGCAGGCTTCTACTATATAGGACCTGGAGACAGAGTAGCTTGCTTTGCCTGTGGTGGAAAATTGAGCAATTGGGAACTGAAGGATGATGCTATGTCAGAACACCTGAGACATTTTCCCAACTGCCCCTTTGTAGAAAATCGGCTTCAAGAAACTTTGAGATACACTGTTTCTAACCTGAGCATGCAGACACAGGCAGCTCGGTTTAAAACATTCTATAACTGGCCATCTAGTGTTCCAGTTCTTCCTGAGCAGCTTGCAAGTGCTGGTTTTTATTATGTGGGTAAGAAAATAATAACAAAAAATATTCAATATATTTTACATTATAAATTTTACTGGTAAGTTATATGTATTCATAAGTTTTGGTCCCAAATTAATTTTAGGTCATAGTGATGATGTCAAATGCTTTTGCTGTGATGGTGGACTGAGGTGTTGGGAATCTGGAGACGATCCATGGATAGAACATGCCAAGTGGTTTCCAAGGTAATTGTTCTCAAATTCTCTGCAAATTTTGTGATTATAAGGGGTGGGCTATATGTGTTCACCTTACAATCAGCTGTTTACTCTGTCTTTGTTTCAAAAATACATTTGTGAATAGGTTTTATGTGAGTTACAAAGAAAAATAATGATTTAAAAGGTTTTGATGAAAATTTAAGAAATATATTTGGAATTTAAACATTTAAAAATAGAAAAATGCATGCACATTATAAAAATACAATCATACATTGCAGAAAAGTACAGAGACAAAAAATAAAAATGCTCAGAAATCCCATCACCTAAAGATGACCAAGGTTACCATTTTAGTGAACATCCCTTCAAATATTTATGTTCTTGTTGTGTGCCGGTGAGTCAATTTTGACTTATGGTAACCCTATAGGATAGAGTAGCACTACCCCATAGGGTTTCCGAGGCTATATGTACATATATAGACAAATGTATGTAATTTTACATAAATTATATATATATAAATTTTTATATACAATATATAATTTATATATATATTAATATATATAGTTTTGAAACTTCTTTTAGTCAACATTATGTCTTGGATGTATTTCCATTCATTCAAAATTCAACAGTATTATTAGAACACTAGGCACTGTTGTGGGTGCTTAAAAGACACAGTTGAATAAAACAAAGACCTTTGGTTTCATACACCAACTTATTTTATAGTGAGGGAGGACAATTACTAAAAAATAAACAAATAAGTTATATAACATATTTGAAAGATAATAAGCGTGATGGAAAAAGAGAAAAAGGTGAGCAGGGTAACATGGATTGGAAGTAGCAGAAGGTTCCACTATTAAATAGGCTGGTCAGGGTGAATACAAAATCACTTCATCTGTTTTAATCACTATATAGTATTTTATTGTTATGTCTTACACTTCTGATTATTTTACACTTATTTGCATTCTCTTTTTTCCATCTAATTCAGGTAGATTGCCTATTGTCATGGTCAAAACTCAGTATGATTGAATGCTGGTTACTGTCTTAGTTATCTAGTGCTGCCACAACAGAAATACAAGTGGATGGCTCTAACAAATAGAAATTTATTTTCTTACGGTTTAGGAGTCTAAAAGTCTGAATTCAGGGTGCTGGCTCTAGGGGAAGGCTTTCTCTTATCAGCTCTGGAGAAAGGTCCTTATCTCTGAACTTCTGCTCCTGGGCAATCTTCATGTGGCTAGGCATCTGCTCTTCTCCCATTTCTGCCTCTTTCTCTTGCTTGTTTAATCTCTTTATATCTCAGAAATTAACTGAAAGCACACTCTACACTAGTCCTGTCTCATTAACATAACAAAACAATACATTCCTAAATGCGATTATAACCACAAGCATAGAAGGTAGGATATATAACACATTTTTTTAGGAGACACAATTCAATCCAAAACAGTTACTAAACCTGGCATTCTAACTTATTTTCATTATTTCTTTTCTCTATTATCTTCCCCTGAACCATTTAAAAATAAGTTATAGACAGCATGGCATTTCACCCCTAAATACTTCAGCACACATCTCCAAAGAATGCCATTATAACATCACCATACTGGAGTCATTACCTTTTGATTTAAAAGCAGAACAAAGAACAGTGCTTGTCTCTGTTTTAGATAAAACATAGGAAAAATTCACATTAATTTTTAATTTAATATTACTGACAACATGGTGATAGGATTCTCTATGTGCACAACACATATTCATGTATTATAGTAAAGAAAAAATTAAAACACCAAATCATTCAAATTATGAAAGATTCAACTTATTCAGAATGCCTTTTGAAAAGGTTAACTATTGATTAGTGTATTTTCTTTCTAAGTTATTATGCCTAGGAGATGTATAAGATGTAAAATTTTGGAGATATGGAAGAAAAATATCAGTTTTTGATCATTTATACATAGGCTTCCTCCTGTCTACATCAGCTTGCTTTTGACTGTAGTATCTCATACCTCTTGTTAACTTCCCACGTGGTAAATAGCCAAGTGGTTATATGTATGCTTATATTCATTTAAAACATGTAGCAGTCCACAAATGGTGGGTTGGCACTACACAAATGATGACACACATTTAGGTATTTTCAAAATTAGCTGAAGCATAATATATCTTGGTAAAAACAGTAAGATAAATTTCATAAAACATTAATCTTTTTGAATAAGGAATTAGTAGTAAATAAAATTTATGTTAGCTCTGGGAAAAAGCATCTTAAAAAGCAAATTTTAAAACTCATGAAAGGGCCTCTGACTCCATTATAGAATACTTACCAGATAGTTTTTGGAAAAAAATTTCAAAAGAAAAAGAAACAAAAGAATCATCTCATATTGGGTTGTTGTTGTTAGATGCCATTGAATTGGCTCCAATTCATAGAAACCTCATGTACAACAGCACGAAACACTGCCTGATTGATCGTGCTCCATCCACATGATCCTTGATATTTTTCGTATTTTTTGCCAACACCATAATTCAAAGGCATCAACTCTTCTTGCGTCTTCCTTATTCATTGTCCAGCTCTCACATGTACATGAGGTGACTGAAAATACCATAGCTTGGGTTAGTTGCACCTTAATTTTCAAAATGGTATCTTTGCTTCTTAACATTTTAAATATGTATTGTGCAGCACATTTGCCCAGTGCATTATGACATCTCATTTCATGACTGCTGCTTCCATAAGTGTTGATGGTAGATCCAAGTAAAATGAAGTCCCTGACAACTTCAATTTTTTCCTCCATTTATCATTATGTTCACTTATTGGTCCAGTTGTGAGGATTTTTGTTTTCTTTGTGGTGATATGTAATCCATACTGAACACTGTGGTCTTTGGTCTTCATCAGTAAATACTTCAAGTCATCTTCATTTTCAGTAAGCAAGGCTGTGTCACCTGCATATCGCAGGTTATCAATGAGTCTTCCTCCAACTCTCATGGCGCATTCTTTTTTATATAATCCAGCTTCTTAGATTATTTGCTCAGCATACAGATTGAATATGTATGGTGAAAGGATACAACCCTGACACACACCCTTCCTGATTTTAAACTGTGTAGTAACCCCTTGTTACCACATTCTCTTAGTCTGTGTTCAGGTTCCTCATTAGCACAAATAGGTGTTCTGGAATTCCCATTCTTTGCAATGTTATCCATAATTTGTTATCATTTACATAGTTGAAGGCCTTTGCATAGTCAATAAAATATAGGTAGACATCTTTCTGGTATTCTTTCCTTTCAGGTAAGATCCATCTGACAGCAGCAATGATATCCCTTGTTCCGTGTCCTCTTCTGAATCCATCTTGCATTTCTGGAAGTTCCCTGTCAATATACTGCTGCAACCTTTTTTGAGTTCTTCAGCAAACTTTTACTTGCATGTGATATTAATGATATTGTTCAGTAATTTCCACATTGTGTTAACAGGATCACCTTCCTTTGGACTGGGCACAAATATCAATCTCTGCCAGTCAGTTCACCAGGTAGCTGCCATCCAAATTTCTTGTCATAAATGAGTATGTGCCTCCAGCACTACACAAGTTTGTTGCAACAACTCAGTGGGCATTCTGTCAACTCCTGCAGCCTTGTTTTTCACCAATTCCTTCAATGCAGCTTGGACTTCTTCAATTCCATTTGTTCTTGATCACATGCTACCTCCTGTCATAGCTGGACATGGCCCAATTCTTTTTGATACAGTGACTCTGTGTATTCCTTCCACCTTCTTTTGGCACTTCCTGCATCATTCAATATTTTGCCCATAAAAAAAAAAAAAAAAAAAAAAACCAACCTCACTGCCGTTGAGTCAGATCCAACTCATAGCGACCCCTCCTTGGGTTTCTGAGGCTGTATGGCTACAGAAGTAGATTGCCCAATCTTCCTTCTGAGGAGTGGCTGGTGGGTTTGAACCATCAGCCTTCTGGTTAGCAGTCAAATGCCTTAGGCACTACACTACCAGAAGTGCTATTTTGCCCACAGAATCCTTCAATATTGCAATTCTAGAGCTTGTTTCTTCAGTTCTTTCAGCTTGAGAAATGCTGAGCATGTTCTTTCCTTTTGGTTCTTTAACTCCAGGTCTTTGCACATTTCATTATAATAATTTACTTTGCCTTCTTGAGCTGCCCTTTGAAATCTTCTGTTCAATTCTTTATTTCAGAATTTCTTCCATTCACTTCAGCTACTCTCCATTCAAAAGCAATTTTCAGAGTCTCTCCTGACATCCATTTTGGTCTTTTCTTCCTTTCCTGTCTTTTTAATGACTTTTTAAAAATTTTTTTTCATTGTGATTTGGGTGCAAATTTACATGCTTTGTAATCTGCTTGATTTGTTTTACTCTCACCAGTTCATGCACATTTCGTTTCACAGCCGATTATAATCCCAATAAAAAGCTCTCCTCCCATCTCCTCCCTGTGACCACTACCTCCCTGTGTCCTTCTTATGCATTCCTGTCTTTCCAGCTTTCCCACTATGCAAATGATACCTGTCTGGTGTCTCACAGTTGATGGATCCAAGGGGGGCATCTTCCTAGGGTAGGTGGGTGCATTTCCCTGGAATAGGTGTTCTGTTTGCAGGCCTTTCTACTGTTTGCCTGAGAGCTAATCCATGGAAGTAAGTTCAGTTCCAGGCCTGAAGAATAACGCGGGACCATAGTCTTGTGGGTTCTACCAGTCTCTATCTAATCAGTAATTCTGGTCATTTTTGTGTTTTTGAATTTTGTTCCACATTTTTCCTCCAATTCTATCCAAGATCTCCAATTTTTATCTTTTTCTGAGTGCTTGATATTTAATGAACTTTTCTCTTTTTCATGTATGATGTTCTGGATGTCATCCCACAACTCATTTGCTCTTCAGTCATTGGTGTTCAGTGTGTCAAATCTGTTCTTTAGATGGTCTCTAAATTCAGGTGGGATATAATCAGGGATGTATTTTCGCCCTAATGGACTTATTTTAATTTTCTTTAGCTTCAACTTGAACTTGCATACAAGAAGGTGATGGTCCATTCCACAGTCAGCTCCTGGACATATTTTGACTGATGGTATTGAGCTTCTCCACAGCCTCTTTCCACAGATGTAGTCAATCTGATTTCTGTGTAGTCCTTCTGGTAAAGTCCATGTGTATCATCACCATTTATGCTGCTGAAAAAAAAGGTGTTTGCAATGAATAAGTCATTGGTCTTGCACAGTTCTATCATGTGATCTCTAGTGTCATTCCTATCATCGAGGCCATATTTTCCAACCACCATTGCTTCTTTGTTTCTAACTTTCTCATTCCAATCACCAGCAATAATCAATACATCTTGATTGCATGTTCGGTCAATTTTAGACTGTAGAAGTTAGTAAAAATCTTCAATTTCTTCATCTTTGGCTTTACTAGTTGGTGTGTAAATGTGAACAGTAGTATTAACTGATCTTGTTGTTGTTATGTGCCATTGAGTTGGACTTGACTCACAGCGACCCTTCCTTGGTTTTCCAAGATGGTATTACTACAGAAGCAGATTGCCCAACCTTCCTTCCAAGGAGTGGCTGGTGGGTTTGAACCACCAGCCTTCTGGTAAGCAGTCAAGTGACTTAGGCACTACACTACCAGAGCTCCTTGTAGGCATATGGATATTATCCTATCACTGACAGCACCATACTTCAGGATAGATCTTGAGATGTGCTTTTTGATGATGAACACAATGCCATCCCTCTTCAATTTGTCATTCCTGGCATAGTAGAGCATATGATTGTCTGATTTAAATGGCCAATACCAGTCCATTTCAGCTTACTAATGCCTAGGATATTGATCTTTCTCTGTTCCATTTCATTTTTTACAACTCCCTATTTTCCTAAATTCTTATTTCATAATTCCATGTTCTGATTGGGAACTCTGGTGGCATAGTGCCTAAGGCATTTGACTGCTAACCAGAAGGCTGGCGGTTAAAACCCACCAGTCACTCCCCAGAAGGAAGGTTGGGTAATCTACTTCTGTAGTGATACTGCCTTGGAAACCCAAGGAGGGGTTGCTATGAGTCGGATCTGACTCCATAGCAGTGTATTGTGTTGTTATGTTCTGATTATTAATGGATACTTGCAGCTGTTTCTTTCCATTTTGAGTCATGTCCCATCAGCAAATCAACGTCCTGAAAGCTTTACCCCATCCACGTTTAGGTTGGCTCTACTTTGAGGAAGCAGCTCTTCCCTAGTCATACTTTAAGTGCTTTCCAACTTGAGGGGCTCATCTTCTGGCACTATATCAGACAATGTTTTATGGCTATTCTTAAAGTTCTCCAGTATTTCCAGATAGCATTTCACTGACGTTCAAAAGGTTTTCAGTGGCTAGTTTTTTCATAAGTGGTTGGCCCCATCCTTCTTCCCAGCCTGTCTTCATCTGGAAGCTCCGCTGAAACCTGTCCACCAAAGGTGACCCTGCTAGTGTCTGAAACACCAATGGCATAGGCTTCTGCCTCACAGCAACACACAAGCCACCACAGTATGACAAACTGACAGATGAGTGGTAGATTGGGCTAGGATTTATTTATTCTTCTAACTTCTAAGTTTAGAATCAATAATCCTAAATGATTCTATGATTTGAGGCGAATATGTAACCCAATTTGAAATGGGATGAATACGTAGAGAGGAGGAACTTATGTTATTAAAATTTTCATTCCATTATAAAGTAACTCCCTCAACTTTATTTTCCTCTTACATTTTAGATGTGAGTACTTGATACGAATTAAAGGACAGGAGTTCATAAGTAGAGTTCAAGCCAGTCACCCTCATCTACTTGAACAGGTAGGAAGTGTTGTTTATTTTTAAATTATTGGTTAAAAACCAAAAACCCACTGTTGTCAAGTCAATTCCAAATCATAGAGACTCTACAGGACAGAGTAGAACTGCCTCATAGGATTTCTAAGCCTTGAAATTAAACTACTGGAGGGAAGAAATGGCTGGGGTAGTAGCATTTAATAGTTTTACTATATAAATTTTTCTTAAATGGATTTGAGAAAGAGAATTTTATTGCCATTTCCAATCTTTCTGGAAAAGCAACTAAGAACTTACATAATAGTTTGAGGATCAAACACTTCTTAGCTATTGTCAACAGAACTGATAGAGGGTCCAAAATCCCAAAGGATGATCCAGAGGTGAAAGGTGAACAATGAGTATCTCATGGATCACTGAAAAGGTGTAGCTCTTTTTGCCTTAATGAAAATAGATTTCACTTGTTAAACATACACACAGATGAAGAAACGCTTAGGAAATAACTGTTGAATGTAAAGGAAATAATTGCTTTTGACTTTAAAAAATCTAATTTGCCATTAAGCAAGTCAGTTTGTGATAAACTGAATAAATTAGGTCTGTTGACCATTTTTACTGTAATAGATAGGATAAGATTTATATTTCAATGCATGTGTATTTTTTCTGCAGCTGTTATCCACTTCAGATACTCCAGAAGATGAAAATGCAGAGTCACCAAGTATGTATAATATAATAATTACTACATTTAAATAGAACCACTTGGTACTGTTAAGATAGAAAGTTTATAATAAGGTACATTTGCATTATACTTGACAACTTACAAAGCATTTTCAAAGAGATTAAGTTGGTATTTCTCAAACCTCAGTACATGTCAAATTGCCTGGAGAACTTTTTTTAAAAATTACAGATTTCTAATCTTTGCTTTAGACCTATTGAATTGAATCAACATGTAAGGGTGCATTATCCTTGTTAGGTGCTATGGAGTCAGATCTGACTCTGTGTACAACAGAATGAAACACTATATGGTCCTGTGTCATCTTCACAATCCTTGCTATGCTTGCGCCCATCATTGCAGCCAGTGTGTCAATCCATCTCATTGTGCAGCTTCCCCTTCTTCACTGACACTCTATTTTACTTAGCATGATATCCTTCTTCAGGGACTGGTCCCCTCTGACAATATGACCAAGGTAGGGGAGATGAAATCTGGCCATTCTCGCTTTCAAGGAGCATTCCAGCTGCACTTCCTCCAGGACAGATTTGTTTGTTCTTCTGGCAGTCCATGGTGTTTTCAGTATTCTTTGGCAACACTACAATTCAAAGGCATCAATTCTTCTCTGGTCTTCCTATTTATTGTCCAACTTTCATATGCATATGAGGCAACTGAAAATACCATGGCTTGGGTCAGCTGTACCTTAGTCCTCAAAGTAACATCTTCACTTCTTAACACTTCAACACTTTAGTATCTAAAGGTAGCGTTTGGGAATTTATAGTTAAAATAAACTACATACAATCCGTCTAGCCCCTCTTCTTGAACTACTGTTTGAGAATAGATGCACTATGACAGGTCACTCATATATTCTATGAAATGGAGAGAGTAGAAAGTACTACTCCAGTAGTACTGAGGCTCAGAGAGGTTAAGTGACTTGCCCATCATGTTAAATATAAAAGGTGTCAGAACCAGTATTTCAACAAGCTCTTCTACTCCATTATCTAGTGTTCAATTCAATAAATATTTATTGCATATTTGCTGTTCTGAGCAAACAATGGCAAGCAGGAGATACTACTCTCATGAACTAATACTATAAGGGATACAGACAAATACACAGATAGGATAAATGTTATGATAAGGAAAGGAAAGTGATCTCCAACATTGTTTCCTTCTCTAAAACGTATACATACATACATACATATATATACAAAATACCCAATTATGGCAGATAATGCATATATCACTATTTTAAATTGAACAAATTTACACAAAATTATGCCTATACATTTTTTTTATTGCAGTAACTTTCAATTAAGAAAATATACAGATTATGCTAATAGGTGTTAAATAATTTGTTCCAAATAGTTATTCACTTTGGACCTGGAGAAAACCATTCAGAAGATGCAGTCATGATGAATATACCTGTGGTTAAAGCTGCTCTGGAAATGGGCTTCAGTAGAAGGCTGGTAAAACAAACAGTTCAGAGTAAAATCTTAACAACTGGAGAGAATTATAAGACTGTAAGTGACCTTGTATTAGACTTACTTAATGCAGAAGATGAAATAAGAGAAGAGGAGAAAGAAAGAGCAACTGTGGAAAAAGAATCAGGTATTTATTTATTATTTATATAGTCCCTATATAAATATTTATATAGTCCCTATATTCGTAAAAGGAGGTCTTGTAGCACAGTGGTTAAAACATTTGTCTGCTAACCAAAAAGGTTAGTGGTTTTAACCCACCAGCTGCTCTCTGGGAGAAAGATGAGGCAATCTGCTTCCATAAAGGTTTACAGCCTAGGAAACACTGTAGGGCAATTCTACTCTGTCCTATAGGGTTGCTATGATTTGGAATCAACTTGATGGCAGTGTGGGTTTTTGGTTTATATTCATAAGGATTTGACATCATCGAGTATGAATTATTGAAAACATACTTGTAAGTCAATCCAGTCAGATTTTTCTGATTTTGAGTTTGAATTCTGAAAAATTTCTTCACCTTAAAATATAATGGAATTGCTCAGTAAACAAATTATAAATGCCAAATGAAAATATTTTTTCCCTAATTCTTATTTTTATTTTGTGTATGTAATTATTCATCGCACATTTTTGATCCCAGGCTAGCTGCTCACTCCTGTTTGCTGAAAACTGGGGTGTTATCAGGGACAATTATTAATTTTAATATTAATATAAAAGTATATATCAGTCTTTGACTATAAACTAATGTACAAATTATGAGTGAGTCCTCTTCCTGCCTACACAGAACTTAGCTGCCTTCAGAGTGTCTATTATTTAGGGAAGTCCTAAGATACTGTTTCACAAGCCTTCAGGGCAGGTTATCCCACACCCTTCCATACTAACCTTGTCTGCTACTCTATTGCCCTTCACGAAAACTCTCTTTCTCTGGGCATGTCTATTCTCATCTGGTGGCTCCCCATATTATCCTCATTCATGCCTAAGACAAACAGAAATGCTGATCTCTCTTTGCCACTCTTTCCCAAGCAAGGCCTAGACCCCTAAATTCCTTCAACACCGTTGAAAATAGACTGTAACTTTTAATAAGCTATATTACAGAAAACAATTTACAACTGCAACTATATGTGACTTCTCCTGGTCCCCGTACATCCATCTTTATAATTCTCTCTGTCTTGCTTCTGCTTCATTTCTGTTTAGCTCTGGCCAGTTTACATGAATGATTAGGAATACTCCAAATATATTTTCCCTTATCAAAGTTCAGGTCCCCAAGTATCAGCAAAACTCAGAAAGAAAAAGAAATTTTCCCCTTTCTTTCCTCCAAGGCCATCTGGGATCTGTTCCTCCTAGGATGACTGACAAGATTATCCTCTTCATTCAGGGATAAAGCTGTTTATGAAGGTGGATCTGCTTCAGGGCTCCACACAGACAAATACATCAGACTATAGTAACCCAGCATCAATATATTTGCCAATGTGTGATTACTCAGTTCTATGTACCACCAGTAGAGTTCCTGGGTGGTGCAAACAGTTAACATACTAACTGAAAGGCTGGAAGTTCAAGTCAACCCAGAGGTTCTTCAGAAGAAAGGCCTGGAGATCTACTTCTTAGAAATTAGACATTGAAAACTTATGGGTCATAGTTCTATACTGATACATACCAGGGTCACCATTAGTCAGAGTCAACTTGATGGCAACCATCAGTAGAACAGAAACACAGACAAGTTAATCTTTGTTCAGCCTAGTCAAGTTCTCTTTTTCACTGTGAAAGTGAAGATCAGGTTAACATGTCCTTCCAAAAGGTGGTCTTCTTAGTCTTAGCCATTGGTCACCAGTCAACAATTACTCAAAAAAGAAAATACCTATCTCTACAATTGTTTACAGACCTCATGAAATTTAAAGCTACCTACCTGTAATATCCATCACTCATCTGTCAGTTTATCATATTGTGGTGGCTTGTATGTTGCTGTGAGGCTGAAGACAATGCCACCTGGTATTTCAAATACCAGCAGGGTCACCCATGGTGGACAGGTTTCAACAGAGCTTCCAGACTAAGACAGACTTGGAAGAAGGAATGGGCCATCTACTTATCAAAGAATTGGTCAGTGAAAACCTTATGAATAGCAGTAAAACACTGTCTGATATATTACTAGAAAAATTTATGAACAGCCCTGAAACATATCTGATATAGTGTTGGCAGTTGAGTCCCTCAGGTCGGAAGGCACTCAAAATACGAATGGGGAAGAGCTGCCTCCTCAGAGTAGAGTTGACCTTAATGATATCAATGGAGTAAAGTTTTTGGGACCTCCATTTGCTGATATGGCATAACTCAAAATGAGAAGAAACAGATGCAAACATCCATTAATAATCGGAACATGGAATGTATAAAGTATGAATCTAGGAAAACTGGAAGTTGTCAAAAATAAAATGGAATGCATAAAGATTGCTATCCTAGGCATTATTAGTGAGCTGAAATGGACTGGTTTTGGCCATTCTGAATCAGACAGCCATATGATATACTATGCCAGGAATGACAAATTGAAGAGGAACGGTGTGGCATTCATTGTTGCAAAGAATGTTTCAAGATCTATCCTGAACTACAGCACTGTCAGTGATAGGATAATATCCATACACTTACAAGGAAGATTGGTTAATACTATTATTACTCAAGTTTACACACCAACCACCAAAGCCAAAGATGAGGAAACTAAAGATTTTTATCACTATCTGCAGTCTGAAATTGACCAAATATACAGTCAAGATGCGTTGATTATCACAGGTGATTGGAATGCAAAAGTTGAAAATCACCAGTAGTTGGAAAACGTAACCTTGGTGACAGTAATAATGCTGGATATCACATGATAGAATTTTGCAAGACCAATGATTTATTCATCGCAAATACCTTTTTTTCAACAACATAAATGGAGGCTATATACATGGCCTTCACCAGATGGAGTACACAAGAATCAGAGTGACTATATCTGTGGAAAGAGTGATGGAGAAACTCAGTATCTTCAGCTCAATCAAGGCCAGGAGCTGACTGTGGAATTGACCATCAAACTGCTCATATGCAAGTTCAGGTTGAAGCTGAAGACAATTAAAACAAGTCTACCAGATACATCTTAGCTGAAAGCAAAGAATACCAGAAAGATATTTACTTATGTTTATTACCTTGATTATATCCTTCCTGAATTTAGAGACCATCTAAGGAATAAATTTAATAAATTAAACACCAATGACCAAAACCCAGAGGAACTGTGGGATGACATCAAGAATATATCCATGAAGAAAGCAAAAGGTCATTAAAAGGCAGGAAAGGAAGAAAAGACCAAAATGGGTATCAGAAGAGACTTTGAAACTTGCCCTTGAACGGAGAGAAGCTAAAGCAAATGTCAAAAATGATAAGATAAAAGAGCTGAACAGAAAATTTCAAAGAGCAGCTCAAGAAGACAAATTCAATTATTATAATGAAATGAGCAAAGACCTGGAGTTAGAAAATCAAAAGGGAAGAACACGCTCAGCATTTCTCAAGCATTTCAGTTCTCTGAAAGAACTGAAGAAAAAATTCAAGCCTTGAGTAGCAATATTGAAAGATTCTGTAGGCAGAACATTGAATGATGCAGGAAAGTCAAAAACAGATGGAAGGAATACAGAGTCACTGTACTAAAAAAAAAAAAATTTATCAATGTTCATCCATTTTAAGAGGTGGCATATAATCAAAAACCAATGGTACTGAAGCAAGAAGTCAAAGTTGTACTGAAGGAATCAGTGAAAACAACAAAAATACCAAATCCACACCAAAACTCACTGCCATCAAATCAGTTCTGACTCATAGCCACTCCTCCTTGGGTTTCTGAGGCAGTTTCTCTATGGAAGTAGATTGCCCAGTCTTCCTTCCGAGGAGTGGCTGGTGGCTTTGAACTGCTAGTCTTCTGGTAAGCAAAGGCCTTAAGCACTATGCCACCATAATAAGGCTCCAGGAATTGACAGAATAATGACTGAGATATTTCAACAAACAGATGTCTTGCTGGAGGCACTCACTTATCTATGCCAAGAAATTTGGAAGACAGCTACCTGGCCAACTGACTAGAAGAGATCCATACTTCTACTCATATGGGTACAAAGAAAAGTGATCCCACAGAATGTGGAAATTATCGAACAGTATCATTAGTATCACATGCAAGTAAAATTTTGCTGAAGATAATTAAAAAATGGTTGCAGCAGTATATTGACAGAGAACTTCCAGAAATGTAAGCTGGATTCAGAAGGAGACATGGAATGAGGAATATCATTGCTGATGTTAGATGGATCTTTGCTGAAAGCAAAGAACACTAGAAAGATATTTACTCGTGTTTTATTGACTATGCAAAAGCATTCAATTGTGTGGATCATAACAAATTATGGATAACATTGAGAAGAATGGGAATTCCAGAATACTTAATTGTGCTTATGAGGAACCTCATAGCCAGATGGAGTACACAAGACCATTTGTACCTATAGGTACATAGACTAGGAGGCTATCATTTGAACAGAGCAAAGGGATACTGCATGGTTTAAAATCAGGAAGGGAGTGCATCAGGGTTGTTCCTTTCACCATACTTATTTAATCTGTATGCTGAGCAAATAATCAGAGAAGCTGGACTATATGAAGGAGAGAATGGCATCAGGATTGGAGGAAGACTCATTAACAACCTGCGATATGCAGAGGACAGAACTTTGCTTGTTGAAAGTTAGGATGACTTGAAGCATTTACTTATGAAGATTAAAGACTACAGTCTCAGTATGGATTACATCTCAACATAAAGAAAATGAAAATCTCACAATTGGACCAATAAACAGCATTACAAAAATGGAGAAAAGATTGAAGTTGTTAAAGATTTCATATTACTTGGTTCCACAATCAACACCAATGGAAGCAGCAGTCATGACATCAGACGATGTATTGCACTGGACAAATGTGCTGCAAAATAACTCTTTAAAGTGCTGAAGAGCAAAGATGTCTCTTTGAAGACTAAGGTGCACCTAACCGAGCCATGGTATTTTCAAGCACATGTGAGCTGTACAATGAATAAAGAAGACCCAAAAAGAGTTGATGCCTTTGAGTTGTGGTGTTGCAGAAGAATACTGAAAGAACCATGGACTGCCAAAAGAACTAACAAATCTGTCCTGGAAGAAGCACAGCCAGAATACTCCTTGCAAGTCAGAATGGCCAGAGTTGGTCTCACCTACTTTGGTCATGTCATCAGAAGGGACTATTCCCTGGAGAAGGATATCATGCTTGGTAAAGTAGGGGGTCAATGAAAAAGGAGAAGGCCTTGAACGAGATGGATTGACACAATGGCTGCAATGATGGGCTCAGGTATAGCAAGGATTGTGAGGCTGGCACAGGACTGGGCAGTATTTCGTTCTGTTGTACTATAGGGTCGCTAGGAGTTGGAGCTGACTCAATGGCACCTATACACACACACACACACACACACATATAACCTATATTTATGTTTTTCAAAGAAAACCAAGTCTCCAGAGCTGTGTCTAAGTTAACAATATGCAAAAACTTCCATTATCAGAAAGATCCTTTAGCTTATCAACCTCACCATTATATCTCTATTACCTAACACAGTACCTGTGTAAAGTTTGTGCTCAAAAAATATTTTTTGAATGAGAAATGGAAAGACTTACATTTAGGTTAATGTTTGTAGTTTCACGAAGAACAGTGGTGAATAATTTCTTGGCAGATGTGTTAAGTAAAGAGGCAACTGAAGGTATTTTTTTTTCTAGAATAATACGATAATTTGCTTCAAAAGTATATTCAAGTCTTCACTTCTTATGAACCAGAATACAGTTTATAACTTACAAATGAGATTTATTTTTTTCTCCAGCTACTTTAATCCAATTTTAGAATTTCAAACAGAGAACCTACTACATCAGCTTTAGAAAATTAACTAGAAAAGTAAATCTTAGATTGAAGTATTGTATTTCGTGTAAACTGTATTTTAATTTCCTAGATATCACTACTTCTGTAACAGATAATTTAACATATACTGAGTACTAATTCTTTTACCCTCTGACTATTACTTATTTATGCCTACCAGTCTTTAAATAACTAAGACTTGGTTGTTCATTTATTCAACAGATATTCATAGGGCCACTGACTTCCAGGCTGCATTCTGGATCCTAGTCCTTTCATTTATTTTCAGAGCTTCAATTATATTCAAAATGTCTTATCTCCAGCCTTGACTGCCTAAGGCATTTGACTGCTAACCAGAAGGCTGGTGGTTCAAACTCACCAGCCACTTCTCAGAAGTAAGGTGGGCAATCTACTTCCTTAGTGATACCGCCTCAGAAACCCAAGGAGGGGTTGCTATGAGTCAGGTCTGACTTGACGGCACATAACAACAACAACAACAACTAGTTTTTATTCTTTATTAAATAGTTCTACTTGTGTGTCCTGTTACTTCAGACAGCATAACAGTTTATAGATAGATCATGGTAAAACTATATCATAATTAACTATTAAACTTAGAATCATAAACACATAGTTGTATTTCAAAGAGATAATAACATTATAGATTTTCAAAGCATAAAATTGTTTGCCACTCGATATAAAACCTAGCTCATGAAGGAGGATAAAATTCCCTATAGGATGGAAAGGTTTTCTTTGACAAGTAGGATTTATTTTTCAAAACGTTGTTAGTGCTTTCCCCCGTTACTATAAAAATATTTATTGTTGTTGTTATGTGCTGTCGAATTGGACCCGACTCATAGAGATCCCTCCTTGGGTTTCCGAGGCGGTATCACTACAGAAGTAGATTGCCCAACCTTCCTTCCAAGTAGTGGAAATTGCATGTCTGATTTGGGGAAATTATTAAGTTTCAATCTAAAATAGAATTTTAAAGAAATTTTATGGAAGAATGATAATTTAAGAAAAAAATTACTACTATTTTAAATTATCTTGATTTAACGTTTTCCCAATTTGACTAGATTGAGTAGGAATTTCAGTATTATTTTCTAACCTTTATTTGGTTAAAGGTTTAGCAGTCTTTCAAAATAACAGAGAACACAGATATTCTGATGTCAAACTGCCTTGGTTTGACTTTTGCTGGTTGTGTATCCTTTGGCAAGTTCCTTACTGTGCCTCAGTTTTTTCATCTGTAAGATGAGAGTTAGGATGAAGTGAGCGATTGTGAGGATGAAACAAGTTAATGTGTACAAAGTGCTTAACATAGTGCTCATTGAGTATTAGTTCTTATTATATGCAGCATTATTATTAGCAAAGGAGGATTAGGTACCCGCTAAAACTAGCAATCAACTTCGACACCTGACAGGTGAAGGATTATGGTTGGTTTTCATTTAGTTGTATGTGTAAGTGTAGAAAGAATTTGTGAGCAGAGGCTGGACATGTCTGTGTGTGTTTTTCTTTTTTGACAGCTGATCTATCATTAATTCGGAAGAACAGAATGGCACTTTTTCAACATTTGACTTGTGTGCTTCCAATCCTGGATAGTCTACTGAATGCCAGAGTAATTAATGAACAAGAACATGGTGTTATTAAACAGAAAACACAGACACCCTTACAAGCAAGAGAACTGATTGATACTATTTTAGTAAAAGGAAATAGTGCAGCCACCATATTCAGAAACTCTCTACAAGAAAATGACCCTATGTTATACAAGAATTTATTTGGTAAGTGCTGGAAAATTATTTTTGGGAAATTTTTAGGTGAATTGAAAATAACACTTGTTAACAACTTGTGATGATTGAAAATAATTCAATCTGATATATAAACTATTAATTTCATAGCCTTATACACTAACTGCACAAAAAATTAAAGACTTGTTGCATTCTGACAATTATTTATAGTATTTAGCCAGTATAAACTGTTGGTTTGAAAAAATATATTTTGTGGCTAAATATCAACCTTAATTGGTATAACAAGGCTTTTTCTTTTTCTCCCTTAGTGCAACAGGATATAAAGTATATTCCCACAGAAGATATTTCAGGTAAAATAGTAATATTAATGCTCTAAACCAGGAAAACATTATTCTTATTTTCTTGGCTTTTCATTGGAGAAGAAGCAAATTGCCTTGAAATAAAAATTCCTTTCTCTTCTTAGATCTACCAATGGAAGAACAATTGAGGAGATTACAAGAAGAAAGAACATGTAAAGTGTGTATGGATAAAGAAGTGTCCGTAGTGTTTATTCCTTGTGGTCATTTAGTAGTATGCAAAGAATGTGCCCCATCTCTAAGAAAATGTCCCATTTGTAGAAGTACAATCAAGGGTACAGTTCGTACATTTCTTTCATGAAGAAGACCCAAAACCTTGTCTAAACTTTTAGAATTAATGAACTGAAATGTATTATAATTTTAACTTTTGTACTGATTTGGTTTCTTTGAAAAATTATATTTATTTACAAATTGGAAAAAAATGTTTTTTATAAATATGTAATTTAATATAAATATTAATATATCCATATATATTTAAATCATATATCAGTATGTATCTAAACCATATATATATATACATACACACACACATTATGTATATGGCTTAAATATCAATAGAATAAATAGACTTTTGTTCTTGTGAACGAAAAATAGAGATAGCACTACAAACACATGCTACATCAAAAAGTCAGCATTACTGAAATTGTAAGTGCACTAAATTTAAGATTTTTTAGTTAAACTTACAGAATTTTAAATATCTGGAGTTGTATTAAGAGTCAGGAACACAGATTCTCTTTTTCAATGTCCTATACAAGGAGGGGTCGCTATGAGTTGGGTCTGACTCGACAGCACATAACAACAACATACATGAGTCAAAATTTGTTGAGTAACTGTTCAGGGACATTATGAC